TGATGTCATCATCAAATGTCATGTGACGTCCCTTAAAGGGGCATTTTGTTCTTCATTGGCCTATATTTACAGACCTTTATGTTCGATTTGGTTATAACTTGACATGTACGTATAATGTGCTGTTATAGATGACATTTTTAGTGACGTCACTGATTGTTCATCACATGCACAGAGTATTTCGAATATCCGAAACAGCTTGTGTTTGTCCACAAACACATCTCTAGTTCTTTTTGTTTTTCTCCTTTTTCAGACTTTTTCTCCATAGGTTTAGCACACGTTTCTTCTACCAGTCCAATTTGGCACTTTCGTAAATCTGATCGATTTCAGACTTATAACATACTTAGACCCACCACCCACAGATGGTCCTAGAAGAAATTCGTGATCGTTACGTCATCAGGCGTCGGGTTACGTCACATTAAAGATGCATTTTCCCCATATATTTTGAACACTTTTAAAACACTCCAGTTTGGCATCTTCGTAAATCCGATCGACCCTAGATTTAATACATACTTATATGAAACGTGTAAAATATAGCCCCCTCTATTTATTTATTTATTTGTAGTCCTTTTTATGTATGGGTAATTTACATTGTAATAGAATCACTGCTACGTTACCTTTGTTATTCAAATTAAGTACGGTGCACCCAAACCTTCAGTTTCGCACCGCGGTTCAATTTACACTCTGACGAAGACAACTCAACATGTGTTATTGATGTCTTCGTCATTTACAGGTAAATCTTTGATTTGTTTATTACCAACATTCCTAAATTGTTTAAATATATTCCAAAACTAGAGTGATATTCTTGTAACTTCATTCTATTCCGTATTATTTTGATTCACTTTGGTTCGTTTTTCATGACTTTGACTCACGATGTTGTTTCTCAGGAAGTGAGACGAAACTACAATATCTTTAATTTGTTAATTTTTTCTTCGTTTTCAATTATTTATTCCTTATTTCTGTAAATAATTTTGTGAGATTAGCCAGGATGGCTGATATTTGTTTAAAATTAATCGTGATTTTGTCCACTGAACTTGATTTAAGAATTGTGTAATTATTGTTATTTAGCTTTGAATCATTAGATATTATACACTGACGAAGACAACTCAACATGTCTTATTGATGTCTTTGTCAATTTTCAGAGAATAAACAGAAAAGGATCCAATCCTGAGAGACCAGCCTGTGTCGTATCTATACATTTTTTAAAACCCCGGTCACACTTAGACCACCACACACAGTAGGTCTTAGAAGAAATTCGTGAACGTGACGTCATCAGGTGTCAGGTTACGTCAGGTTAAGATGCATTTTTCTCATAGGGTTTGTACACGTTATAAAACACTCCACTTTGGCACTTTTGTAAATCCAATCAACTTTAGACTTGGTACACACTTAGACCACCACCCACAAATGGTCCTAGAGGAAAATTGTGATCGTGACGTCATGAGGTGTCAGGTTACGCCTTTTTAAAAATGTATTGTTTCCCTATTGTTTTTTTAGACGTGCTTCTTCAAACCATACACTTTTGCACTTTACACTTGTCAGACACTAAGACCAGCAGCCGAAGATGGTCCCCGATGAATGTGTAACGATGACGTCATCCTGCATGTCATGTGTCACGTGACGTGACATTAAATGTTCATTTTTTTCCAAAACGCTTTAACGTCGGAAGTACAAGTCTGATTGGAATAAAACTTGGTACGCACATCCATAGGGATGTGTTTTAGTTGGAAATTGAAGTGACGTCATCATAAAAAGTCATGTGACATCCCTTAAAGGGTCATTTTATACTTTTATAGGCCTATATGTACAGAACTATAATGTTCGATTTGGTTGAAACTTGACATGTACGTATAATGTGCTGTTATAAGACATTTGTAGTGACGTCACTAAGTGCTCATCACGTGCACATAGTATTCCAAATATCCGAAACAGCTTGTGTTTGTTCACAAACACATTTCTAGTTTTATGTTTTTATTCTGTGACACCCAAACAAACTTAGTCCAGACATTAATGTCTATGACGATTTAAGGGCTTTTCTAAATAAAAAAAAGAAAAGACAAATCCTGGTGAAATTGAGAAACAACGACCCAGATGACCTCTGTACATTTTCAATGGACCGCTTTCGCTTCTTGCCGCCAGACCCATTTATGCGCATGAATGCACAATTTTGAATTTATCATTAAAAAGGTCTATTGGACGGAGCATTCTGATTGGTTAAGGATCAAGATAATATGAATATTCATGCGGTACCTTACAGCTTCTGCGTTTATGCTGCATGTATGTAAACGAGTCTTGTGCGTGGTGAATAGAGTGCAGCATGAAGTCAGTCACTATAGCTTCGAGTCAAAGCTGTTTGGTATTCGAGTAAGAGCCGTTTGGAATTCCATTGTATTGTTTTCCTATTCGATATAATAATATTAACTTGACACATGAAGTTCTCGAATTTCATTATTATTATACCATTGAGTTGAATAAATAAGAATCGTTCGAAAAAAAGAGAGAGACAGATATCGCTATTAATACTAGAAAGCACTCAGAGAGCGGAAACCTTCACCAAGGCTAAACAATTCCCCGCCATATTGTCAGTACACCCAAAAGAAATACTCGCATATCCATTAGACTTTAAGGGTACTGAACAACTAACCTGATGAAGTTTCAGCTCAGCTTCAGCTCAGCTTCAGCTGTATATTCCGAAAAAAAACCAGCATTCTAGGATCTCAATTTCAAATCAAAAGTTGGTGAATCATGTTTTGAATCAGCGTCCGAGACACGTTCTCGCTGGGCCGATTGCAGCTGCGAGATGTCGCGCTCTGATCCGACGAATTATAGCAACCGGGGGTGCGTGTGCGCTGTGCCAATACTTGCGCACGCTTCGCCGAATAACAAAATGAACTACTACTTTAAATTTTCCTACGGTGTGTCTTAAGAATTATTATTATTATTATTATTACTACTATTACTGTAATAGGGCGACAGGTTTTGCGAACTCCGTCCACAATAGGGCGATACACCTTATTGAGGCGACAAAATAACTGTCGCCCTTTTATGAAAACGACCCTTAGGACAAGAAATTTTGCCGTCGCTAACCATCTAGATCGATTCCTCATGGTCCAATTAGTATAAATACTAAATTTCGTGGAAAAAACATAAGGTAAACTTGGGTTAGGTGACAGTTTAGGTTTGTGCACAAGTCTATGGGAAAGTCACCCTATTGGGGCGAAAAGAGTAATAATAATTATTATTATTATTAAGAAGCACCGTTGGAAAGGACTTCTTTCGTTGATTACTTCAAAATGACAGCTTGCCAGAAAGAACAATTCCACAGGGAGTTTAGTCCCCTAACTATCTTTCAACCAAGAATGTTTTTCAACAATAAATTCCCCAGTTACTTTTTCTGATAGCTGCAAATGACGGACTATAGCTTTAACTGACCTAGAACGTCACGTGTGTGCATCCCAGGTAAACACGTACGCTTTACAAACGCGTATGCATGTACGTAGACTGTGGGTCTTTGTGAACCTATCGCATACGTGCATTCACGCTTCGAGCGCTAAGCTCCACCCAGTCACGCATGCACTACAGTGCATTCATAACATTGGAATCGGCCCAATCTCCCAATGGTGAAGAACTCTTAATCCTGGATCCAGACCCAGATCCAGATCACTTCCAAAATCTAATTGATTTGTACTTGTACCGAGGACCACCCCTAAAAATGTTTTCATGAAAATTCGTCTGAAACTTTTTGAGTTATCATGTTAACCGACAAATCAACAAACAAGCCCACGCCAATGGAAACATAACCTCTTTGGGGAAGTAACAATGGACAGTTAGAAGTTACAAGTTGCGAGACATGTCAATACCAGCCAATAATAAACAAATACGAAACATTTGCACCGAGCTAGTATATATTAGGACGCGACAAACCAGACATGACTGTTTAGTTACTCGTCCTGAAGTCTAACACATATACATGTGCTGCACAAGCGTATATGAAAGTCGAATAATGAACAGTAAACTAAAATCCACAACTTCCAAACAAAAAAACCAACCGAATATTAACTATTTTTTCTTGGTCACAGAAATATTTTTTTGACTGATTTTCCCCCACTTTCCCAGGATTTACCGAAAAGGGCCAATGGCCTAAATCGTAAAAGTTCAATCAATAAAATATAAATTTGATTTAAGTTCAGAAAAGTTCGACAATCTGAATACCGTTCAGGTGAAAAGCAGGAACGTTTTAAATGTCTCAGACCTCGGGAGCAGTTTTCCCCTTTAATTAGCTTCAAGTCGTCCATTTAAGCGCGAATTTGAATGCAGTTTAAGATTATCGTTCAATTTACTGAAAAAAAACCCATTCAATTTCGTTTTTCAAGCCCGCGAAGAGCATTCAAATTAGGCATTTCGGCAGTGAAATTCAAATAAACCACTTGGACCGTTTTTGGAGAACAATCACAAAAACAACTGAAAGAAATATCAGTGGCGTAGCATTTGAGGGGAGGGGGAGACTGTTCCCCCCCCAAAAAAAAAAAGAGAAAAAAATAACGAGTGCACTTTTTTGGAGAACGCTGCGCGTACGTCGACAATAATGCCGCCCTAAAAAGCGCCACCTATTACCCGATAGTGGCCATGATCTCCTGCTCTTCCATGTCTACACCTCTAATGAAAATGACCTTGCTACGTCACTGAATATTCATAATCCAAACAAGAAATGGATACATCATTAAACAAAATGGAAGAATTAAATTTAGAGAAGTTGACACACGTCACGATGTATAATATGGCTGCAATGATGAAAGAATAGATTCCGAAGAATTGAGAATAAAAAGAAACTAAAGATGACAAGTGTAGCTGTCCTAATTGAAACCTTTTGTTTTCAACGTTACTTCTGTTGACCTTTTTGTCCATGTTGATGGAAATGTTGTTATATTGAATGCGCGAAGTGCTAGATTGATTGTTCATTAACGGAAATGAAATTAAGAATCGAAGGCAGAAACCTCATTGTAACGCAATTCTGCTGCCTTGTTTGCATAAACCCTTGCACTCTCTTGAGGTCATTGACGCTTTCCACACAAATGGACTTGTGGAATATAACTAGGTTTAATCTGAAATTAACCACAGATCAAATAACAATTTGTGAGTATGTTTTCATGACAATAAACAATACACATACATAACATAACCATGTGAGGAGTAAATTATTCAGTTAATTTAGTGTCGAACAAATATAATAACAATATCAGGAATGTGACAGCATTACAAATCCCCATGTGTTATTCCCCCAAACATGTGTGCCCCTCAGAGTCCCAATCCTAACAATGATTGCACGCAAATAGTCATGAAACCAAAGACTCACGACTTTGTTGAGCACAGGTCAACTACAGCAAACTAACAGAAAAGACGTCAGGTCAAACTGATAGTTATTAATTAAACAAGGAAGTTGGGCAGATTATCTTTCCCCATGAACGGTGAATTGATGCAGAAAGCCCACATGAAACAATGTGCACACTAGCATATGTCTGTGTCTTGACTCTATAGCATGAAATTTTGTATATGCACAACATAAACCAGACTAAGACCTCATGGGTGATACACAGATTATTGACCTCCACGAAAGACATTTCGGTGCAACATGATAAAATGTATGTCTAAATAATCCTTACGGAAAGCATGTGTTACATTCCGGCCCCTTAAATGTAAGAGTAATCAACGAACATTTACAATCACAACAAGTAACCAAGCTTAACAGTAAACCTTATAAAACGATTAAACTTTAAACTGGAACCTAAACGTGTTGCCTTATAACTAAGAACTTGGTCCAATTGGGTAAGGAGATGCTTCTAGTCTTTAACACCTTCTAACAGACACAGTTTGGTGATTGGCCTGACATGATTTCCAGTGGCTGTCCGTACTTCCACACTCCTAACCAGACCATCGGCTCCAGGGAAGGTCTTCAAAATCCTCGCTAGAGGCCACTGACTTCTGGGCAGATTGTCATCCTTGACCAACACCAGGTCACCAGCCTTGAAATTGGCTTGTGGCTCAAGCCAACGTTGTCTGCGTTGAAGCGTGGGAAGATACTCTGCAGTCCAACGCTTCCAGAACCTTTCAACCAGCAACTGTACGTGTTTCCATCGCTTCCCATACTGGTCAGTTGCTTTCAAGTCACGGAGTGGAACTGGATGCCCATGTCCAAGCTTCAACAGATGATTGGGAGTAAGGGGTTCGAGATCTTTCGGATCGTCGGAGACTGCTGTGATGGGTCGGTCATTTACGATAGACTCCACTTCGCAGAACAATGTGTCGAGTCTCTCGTCATCAAGCACCTCATCATGCAGAAGTGAACTCAGAACTTTCCGGCAGGTACGAATCTGGCGCTCCCAAACGCCTCCCATGTGGGAGGCCGCTGGCGGGTTAAACTGCCATTCGACCTTTCTGCTGAGAAAGAAACCCTCCGCCTGTTTGCTTTCCTGTAGACGCTCGATAGCTGCCCTTAGCTCCCTTTCTGCTCCAACAAAGTTGGTCCCGTTGTCGGAATAGATTTTCTCCGGGGTTCCTCGCCTTGCCGCAAACCTTAGGAAGGCATTGAGGAATGAATCAGTTTCTAGAGAGTGTAGCTTCTCCAGGTGGACTGCTCTGATTCGCATACAGGTGAAAATACAGCCATATCGCTTTTCCCTGCTCCTCCCTCGTTTGACATGAAACGGTCCGAAGCAATCAACCCCAACGTGGGTGAACGGTGGTTTGCCTGGAGTCACTCTGTAGGCAGGTAGATCGGCCATACGTTGAATGCCAGGCAGTCCCCGAAGTTTTCTACAGAGCACGCACTCCTTCAAAATGCGGTTGATCAAAGGTCGCACCTTGGGAACCCAATATTGTCGTCTTATCACAGAGAGCACATGCTCTTTGCCCGAATGGCCAGATAGCAATTCATGTGCATGACGAACTATCAAAGTGGCCAGATGACTATCACGAGGTAGTATCACTGGACGCTTGCAAGTGGGCCCGACTGGAGAGTGTCGCAGTCTACCACCAAGCCTCAATACACCATGGTCATCTACGCACGGTTCGAGACTATACACATGACTCTGTCTCTGCACCGAAGTCTTTCCCGCCAACAAATCACGGAACTCCTTCTTGTAGTGCCTTCTCTGAACGCTCCTGATTATGGCCAGCTCTGCATCTTGCAGTTCACCCACAGTCAACCTCTGGTTTCCCTTATCTTCATTATCCAGGTTCCTGGGCCTATGGAGTCGCAGCCACTTTATGAAGCTGAGCACCCATGCGACCGCCCTTTTGAGTCGATACAAAGACGAGTATCTGCTGATCAACCTGTGAATGGGGTCATCCTGATCAACGACATCTATGGCTCGGGACAGTGCTATCTTTCTCACTTCCTTGTCCTTTTCCTGCAGACTAGGAATTTGTGGAGTCACAGGCCAACTGTCCTCAGTCTGCCACAAGAAATCAGGACCCTTTCTCCATCTTATCTTGTCAAGCATACTCTGGGCATCGAGCCCCCTAGATGCATCGTCAGCAGGATTCTGCTGTGTATTGACATATCTCCACTGACTGGCGGTAGATCCATCATGAATTGTGGCAACTCTGTTTGCAACAAATGTTTGGAGACGCTTTGATTGGTTACTTATGTACTGGAGTACCACCGTACTGTCTGTCCAGAACGTTGACCCTTTCACCTGAACCCTTAGTTCTCTTCTGAGCATCTGGTCCATCTTCACTGCAATAACGGCAGCAGATAGCTCTAGTCTAGGGATAGTCATGGTCTTCAACGGAGCGAGTCGTGATTTGCCAATCAGAAAGCTGCAGTGAATATCACCGTCAGTGTTGACAAAGCGGGCAAAAGAAACGGAGCCATAGGCATCTTGTGAAGCGTCAGCAAAATGATGCAAACGACATTCCTCAACAATTCCAAAATCACCAGGAATCAGACACTTATCAACTGAAAACTGCTCCAGCTTGGGAAGATCATCCAGCCACCTGGTCCACTGATCTTGCGTACTGACTTCCAATGGCTCATCCCAGCCCTTCCCAACTATTCTACACTCATTTTGGAACATGAGCTTGGCCAACAGAACAAATGGACACACGCACCCAAGAGGATCGTAAACGGAGCTCAGAATGCTTAACAGACCTCTCTTAGTGTGACATCCTCGCCTTGACTTTATCTTGACTCCAATCTGATCACCTTCGGTATCCCAACGTACTCCTAAGACCCTTTCCACAGGAAGACGTTCATGATCAAGGTCCAAGTCGGTGACTGTCTTGGCTCTTTCAGCCGTCGGTACGGAATCCATGACCTTTCTGCTACTGCAGATCCACTTAGTCAAGTGGAAGCCACCTTTAGCTAGAAGGTGCGTCAGCTGCTTCACCATGAATGCTGCATCATCCTCCGACTTGAAGGATTTAAGAAGATCATCAACGTAGAAGTTCTCTTTTACCGCCTGGACTGCATCACTGCTGAACATATCCTCGTTGTCATCTGCCGTTCGCCGCAGAGCAAATGCAGCGCAACTCGGACTCCATACCCCTCCGAAAAGGTGGACCGTCATACGAAACACTTCAGGAGGTCGAGTAGCATCCCCTTCAGGCCACCATAGGAATCGTAACACATCTCTGTGTTCCTTGGAGACTCCAACCTGATGAAACATCTGCTCGATGTCTCCCATCAATCCAACTTTGTGCTCTCGGAATCGGGTAAGGACTCCAACTAACTTGTTCATCATGTCCGGCCCCTGTAATACTCTGTCGTTTAACGAAGTACCACAGCATCTAGCAGCGCAATCGAACACAACTCTAAGCTTTTCAGGCTTGTTGGGGTTCAGAACACAGTGATGAGGTAAGTACCAAGTTCGTCCCGTTGATGATGCCAGCTCGTGCTCAGGCACCCTCTCAGCAAACCCTCTGCTCAACAGATTTTGTATCTCTGCACAGTATCTTGAGTGCAAACCGGGGTCCTTGGTAAACCGCTTGGCAAGGGATTGCAAGCGCCTTTCTGCAACAATCCTGTTCTCAGGCAAATCGGGAGTGTTCGACTTGAATGGTATGTCTAACTGGTAGTGGCCATCAACAAGATTGACTGAGTCATTCCATGTCTTGACTGCCTTCTTGTCATCCAGTGACATGGTTCTGTCATCTGATAGGTCTGCAGTGTCAAGCTTCCAAAATCGCTCGACCTGAGCTTCAAGGCCGCCTTGAACAAAGTTGGACACTGCTGCTGCTGGACTCCCACTGGCTAACGGTCCATTCACCGTCCATCCAAGGCAGGTTCTGACTGCGTAGGGTTCGCCTTCCGCACCACGCCTCACCTCTAATGGAACCAGGGCCTGTGGGGCATCTTGTCCAATGAGAATCGCTACACCATCTTTAGCCACGCATGGAACAGGAATGTCTCTCAAGTGTTTGAACTTCCTCACATCTTCAAGGGTAGCGCAGGAATCTCGCAGAGTGGGAAACTCTTTCAGAGCGTGAATCTCTGGTATGCAGAAAGACTTTCTGGTATGGGCCTTGCCGACAGTTCCAGACACGTCCAACGAAAGCACAACTGTTTGAACCTGTGCATTCTCGTTCAACGTGTCCAGAGACAAAGACTGTGGGGTGCCCTTTACACCCAGCATTTTCACTAACTCCATTGTGCAGAACGACCTGTTGCTCCCGGGATCAAGAAGAGCATTTGTCTTGAGCCACTCCCCACTACCCGCACCTCTCACCATCACGGCGACAACTGGTAGGGCTATCTTGGAGTGTTCTTGACTGGACCCACAAGCGAGACTTGTTGCTCCGACTTTCTGATCATCAGGCGATTCTTTAGGAGCACCTCCATCTTCAGAATTCGCTCTCTGGAATACACCATGTAACAACCTCGAGTGTTTTCCTCTACATCCTTGGAAACCGCAGGGAGCTGCTTTACACTGCCTTGAAAAATGCCTACTGCAGAGACAGTTGAAACACAGCTTGTTTTCACTCGCCACTTTGACTCGGTCAGTAGGAGACATCTTACCAAAGTTGTTGCATGCCGTGAGTGCATGTCCCCCAGAGCACAATGGACAAGCTGTCCTTTTCACCAATTCGTTCTCGCCACATTGACGCTTAGACGAGTCAGTCCCAACCCGAGACCTGTGGTCGACCTCACCGGTGGCTTGGATATTGTAGTTGGATCCCTTCTTCTTGGGTGATTTCTCATCGCTGTGCCGGTTCTCCAAACCATAAACAGGATCATTTGCCTCTCGAGCTACCTTGCTGACAAACTTGACAAGTTCTGCAACATTGGGGTAGTGGCCAGTCTTGTCCAGAATGCCCACAGCTTTCGAACGCCATTTACCCTGCACGTATTGTGGCAGTCTCTTTACGATGAGGCTAAGGCTCCTTTTAGTGTCAACTTCTCCAAGCCTTTTCATCGCTGTCAGAGTGAGTGTGCAACTCCGAAGATCGTCAGCTAACTTCTGGATACCTCTGCAATCCCCTGGCAGGATGCGCGGGCCCTCTGTAAGTTTACTGACCCAAGTTTCCGAAATCCTGTAATCGTTACCAAAGCGTTCACGAAGCAATGCTCTTGCCTTTGTGTAGCCCTCATCCGGCTGCATGACAGCACAACATCTGATAACTGCCAGCGCCTCTCCGCAACAATACTGGAACAGGCGATTTAGCTTGGCGCTGGCCCCAACGCTGGTGTTGCCAACAGCTGCATCAAAGCTAGAGATGAAGATCCAGTATTCAAGAGGGTCCCCATTGAACTTGACCAGCTCACACTTCGGCAAGAGCAGCGTGTCAATCATCTCACGTTGCAAAGGAATCGCTGACATGGACGATGATGGCTGCACTGGAGCAGATGGCTGCGGGTTACCAGTTAACCACTGATCCACCTTCTCTGCAGCCGTCGACCCATGTAAACTTAGCTTAGGCTCCTCTTCATGTGAAGATTGTTCAATGTCTCCCAGAGCCCTTTGCTCCGCCTCTGCCTTGGCAATTTCCAGCTGGAGTTCGCAGTCTCGCTTACGCTGAGCAAGTCTCAACTCTTCCTCTTCAATGGCTTTCAATGCTATCCTGCTTGCGGCTTCTGCCTGAAGGCCTGCTAAAGTAGCAGCTGCCTTGAGCCTAGCACTACTAATTGAACTGGAAGTACCAGCTTTGCTGGATTTACTGGCATTTGAAACTGACATTGTGAACTATCAAATTACAGCAGTGAAAATGGAATAGCAGTACGTTATGATCAATACCAATATTATATAAATCAGAAAAGATTTTACCAACCAGTCAATCAATCAATCAACACAATTATGTGAAGAAAATGTAAATTATGTGAGATATCAAACACTACAAGTAAAATTACTTGAAAATTAGCAAGAAAATTACACAACAATCAAGCAATAAATCAAACACATGTGCAGTTCAAAGTATACAGTTCGATGAACTTGGGATATCCTCGAACACGGTCAGATGCTCGTCCAAAGTTCAAAGGTCACTGATCACATTTCGATGAACTTGGGATATCCTCGAACACGGCATCAGGTGTTCGTCCAAAGCTCAAAGGTCACAGGTCACAGTTCGATGAACTTGGGATATCCTCGAAACACAGAATCAGGTGCTCGTCCAAAGTTCAAAGGTTACAGGTCACAGTTCGATGTACTTGGGATATCCTCGAAACACAGAATCAGGTGCTCGTCCAAAGTTCAAAGGTTACAGGTCACAGTACAATGAACTTGGGATATCCTCGAAACACAGAATCAGGTGCTCGTCCAAAGCTCAAAGGTTACAGGTCACAGTTCGATGAACTTGGGATATCCTCGAAACACAGAATCAGGTGCTCGTCCAAAGTTCAAAGGTTACAGGTCACAGTACGATGAACTTGGGATATCCTCGAAACACAGAATCAGGTGCTCGTCCAAAGCTCCAAGGTTACAGTACATGTACAGGTATACGAACTTGGCCGCAATCAAATTGTCCAAGATGATTCACGATTCAAATCTTGTCCCCATCTGGACCACGAGGAAATACCTGATGATTACGGCTCTCAGTCTCACCATGTAGGGCGCAAGTTGCATCAGTCAACTGCATACACTCAACATCAGGTGCAATACACACAACCCCTGGACTGTGAACATCATGGGTGGTTGTCAGGTAAGTACTGGTGGCGGGCAGCCGTCTCAACTTTGGTCGCCAACGATTGACTGGAACGCCATTACTCCAATAACTTGGAGAGTGACTCAAAGTCATTAAACTGTAACGCAATTCTGCTGCCTTGTTTGCATAAACCCTTGCACTCTCTTGAGGTCATTGACGCTTTCCACACAAATGGACTTGTGGAATATAACTAGGTTTAATCTGAAATTAACCACAGATCAAATAACAATTTGTGAGTATGTTTTCATGACAATAAACAATACACATACATAACATAACCATGTGAGGAGTAAATTATTCAGTTAATTTAGTGTCGAACAAATATAATAACAATATCAGGAATGTGACAGCATTACAAATCCCCATGTGTTATTCCCCCAAACATGTGTGCCCCTCAGAGTCCCAATCCTAACAATGATTGCACGCAAATAGTCATGAAACCAAAGACTCACGACTTTGTTGAGCACAGGTCAACTACAGCAAACTAACAGAAAAGACGTCAGGTCAAACTGATAGTTATTAATTAAACAAGGAAGTTGGGCAGATTATCTTTCCCCATGAACGGTGAATTGATGCAGAAAGCCCACATGAAACAATGTGCACACTAGCATATGTCTGTGTCTTGACTCTATAGCATGAAATTTTGTATATGCACAACATAAACCAGACTAAGACCTCATGGGTGATACACAGATTATTGACCTCCACGAAAGACATTTCGGTGCAACATGATAAAATGTATGTCTAAATAATCCTTACGGAAAGCATGTGTTACACTCATTAAATCAAGGTGTGCGAAATTAAATGTCGATTGGGTAATATCTAATTGAATGCCGCAATTTCAACTTTGGATGTGTTGGCAAACAAATTTGCACGCCATAAAAATGAATAAGAACCAAATGATAAGCAGCATGATCCATATCGCATGAATACAAAAGCAGAGGTGAGAATAAAAGGAAACAAAAAGTCATACCAATGTTAATGTCATCAATGGCAATAAAGTGAAGCCAAAAGCTGCCATCATAGACTGCCTCCAGAGCAATTTGAAATTCTGAAGTAGCCTTTCTCACACAACTCCTGGCTTTCAACCAAACCCTTGCATTTGTATATTGACCGCTTCTCGTAAAGATGATTTCTCCCTCACTAGTTGTCTCATTTACTGGAAGATGATACACATTAAAAGTCCCTGAATAACAATACAAATAAAATCACAACGAAATGAATCATTTATTTCATCCGTAGTCGTGTATAGTTTCATGAATATAATGTATTGTTTTCACATAATATTACTTTCTAGCAAAATGCATTCAAGGGGAAAGCGGGTGATGAAGGTAAAATCCTAAAAGAAGTGTTTTTATCATCTGGATTTTCTTACATCTGTATTCTGATTGTTTTTTTATTATCTATTTTGGTAAAAAAAAAACCAAACTTGAGGTCATATCCTTATATTTTAATTTAAAAACTTTTACGTTTGACACAGACCTTCTTTTGGTCAATATGCATCCAATTAAGAGAGTGCTATACCCACTGGGGTAGGAGCAAAATCGGGGGTTTTTTTGTCCCAAAGATGAATTTTTCCAATCACAAATGTTGCAAATGATATAAGTTATGGTAATATAATATTTTTTTTACCTCATGTTAAGCTACTGTTCGCATCAATGTTGCCCATATTGGGTTCTTCGCATGCATTTTATTTGATTACATGACCATAAAGTTTCGTCTTAAGTCATAATTCTTGATAGGTTTAGGCAAAAACCACAATTTTGACAGTTCAATGCGTGTTTCCAAGTATTTAAATAGAAGAAGACGGGCTTTTATGATAACTAGTCGTTTTCAAATCGGTAACCTAGGTGACCATCGACAACCTACAGACTTTGTTTTAGTACGGTGTTGACCCCTGTTCATGCCGATCGGCGACGGTTTTGTGTGCGGAGATATTACAAACGGTTTAAAATTGGGATTGTATTCACCAGTCATTACTATTACAGGACTGACCTCTGCACTTCATGACCCTAACACAGTGATTTATTACACTTTTATTATAAAATTGTGTAATTGCTGCTAGTAGAAGAATTGGAATTGTAAATTAAATTATAAATAATAATTGTGTAAATAGAACTGAACTTGTCCATTGTTGTGATTATTTGGTGCTTGCAGTCACAGTCCTTAAAATAAAAGGGTAACTTTAACAAGAAACACCCTTTAGTTGCAAAACGTGGGTAAACAAATGGGATAGAAAGATTCATTTCAATAAATATATCAGTTTTGGCCTATGTGATAATTGTAAAATTGTAAAAATGGCTTGTAAACCTCACCTGTGCCGCTTCCATAAATATTGTACCAGAAACTGAAACACAACGTGTTTCCTGGCTGTTCTCTACTCGGCAAAACAACAGGGCTGACAAGTAGAGCGTGTCTGCCAGGCAAAAATGAAGTATAAAGGATGAAGTTGCCACTCGCATCTGTAAAGGGTAGATTTTCATGAATGAAAAAAAAAAAATAGCCAAGAAGCAATGTTGCGTTGGTGAATTCAATAACTCGGAACGAGCGTCTTGTACTCTTTGTTTTGGAGTATGTTGGTTAATTAAGTCAAGGTCAATTTGAGGCAGAAAGATTAACATTTAAAATTGAACGTAGTGAAATATAGATTTCAAAAAAGGTAACGCATTTCAAAAAAGGTAACGCACGAAAACAGATAGACTAAGCTACTTCGTGTAAAACAAACTGCTGATTTTGATCTTAAGGAACTCTGTTGATTACCAATAGAATTAAAGCAAAACATTCAGATTCATGTAAACAAGGCGTGAAAAATGTTATGGCGCGAGTTTCATCAGCTTTGTACAAGAAAGTGAGATTTAGAAGCCATACGAAACAAATACTCACTTTCAGATTGTCGATTTAGCATTGGAAAAGGTGGCCGAAGGCGCTTGCTGCTGCCGAAAGCTCCTGAAGAATGTAAGATTACTCCTGATGCCATTGCACATCTCCTGGACCGTGTGTTACGCAAACGATCGCTGAGGTGTGCAATGACATCAGGGGTGATCCTGCATTTCTTCTGAAGCTTTTGGCCGCAGCATGCCCCTTCCGCCGCAGCATGCGCCTTCTGCCGCAGTGTACGGCGCTGTATCGACATTGGAGGGCGCCAACACGAAAGGGGCAGTTTCTGGAAGTGATATTTTTGTGTAAAGGGTTTAAATCTCACCCTCTTGCACAAAGCTGATGAAAGTCCATCCATAATATTTGTCATGCCTTGTTTACATGATCCGAAATGATAATTTCATTGGTAAACAACAGAGTTATTTAGGATCAAAAGTAGGGCATGTTTTTCTACACGTGGTACATTACAAATGACTTTTGATATACTCCAGTATAAACTAGTGCCAGTAACCTTCGCACTGACACTAAACTTGTTTGTTATCGATGATCGTTTGATGCAGCTGGAGTTTCATTTTAATTATCAAGGAAATTATTGCAGCATTTTTAGGCAGAAAATAATGCCCCAGTCCACATTACTCTCAGAAATCGGTTTACAATTTGTTTTCCCGAAGGACTGTTGATATTGTTTTCATTCAGGAAACCAACAGTGAGGCTGATGATGTATCGAATTGGAAGAAGAACTGGAACGGGGATATTTTATATAGTCATGTTACTTGTAACTCTGCAGGGGTTGCTATACTTATTTCGGCAAAGTCGGGTTTAAAACTTGATCAGGTTAAGTGTGATAATCACGGTAGATGGATCAAAGGGAACATTCAATGGAATGAAAAATCATCACTCTGATGTCTGTTTACGCCACAAATGCTATTCGCTCTAGAGTTGATTTTCTTAATACTCTTAAGAAAGAGTTGATAGCTGGTAATGATGATCATCTGCTTCTAGGGGATGATTTTAATTGTAACATTGATGACCCTCAGGTGTATGACCCCAGCAAGAAAGTCCTCAGAAATGTTTTACAAGTTAATGACCTTGCAGATGTTTGGGCCACCAAAAATCCTGATAAACCGGGGGTCACCCACCTTCATAAAGGAAGGGGTAAAGTCAGTAGGATTGATTATATGTTTGTGTCTAAAGATCACCTCAATATGTGTAATGGAATTGTCATTTCTGCAATAGGATTAACTGATCACTGTGCAATTAATGTTAAATTTTGTGAGCAAGATAACCCCCATGGTTGCGGAAGATGGATATGTAACAAATCCCTCTTAAAGAATGACGACTGTGCTCAGAGAATTTGCATGTTTTGGCATTTTTGGAAAACTAAAAAATGTAAGTTTGCCTCCCTTCTACAGTGGTGGGAAGCAGCCAAGTACAAAATTAAGGAGATCATTAGGGAATTTGGAAGAGAACAATCTTTTGAGAACAAAAGAGAAAGAGAGCTCTTTCAAAAGAAACACAATTCTCTCATTATGAAAAAAAGATGTGAATTCCCTTGGAAAATTAAAAGAAATTGAAGGGACAATGAAAGATCTTGAGATGAGGGAGTACGAGAAATCACAAGTCAGAGTCAGAAACATGGTCAAAAATGAAGGTGAAAAACCATCCAAATATTTCCTCGCTCTTGAGAAACAGCAGGTCAACAATAATAACATGGCTAGTATTCAAAATGATGATGGTGACTGTGTTGATAATACTTTGGATGTGATGAATTGTGTCAATGATTTCTATCAACGCCTTTATAGTAAGGATAATATATCTGTTACTCAGATGCAGAATGTTTTGAAGGAGATCGGCACTTTCACTTTCACTGATGATGTGTATAATTTGGAGAAAGATATCTCAGAAAATGAAGTTACCTGGGCTCTTAGTCAAATGAACAAAAACAAATCTCCTGGTACTGACGGTCAGACAGTCGAATTCTATCAAGAATTTTTGGAATGTCATTAAAGAAGATTTTTTGGATGTATTAAAAGAGTGTCATAAACAGGGAGAGCTTTCCAAGTCCATGAATGTTGGCCTAATAAGGCTGATTTATAAGATGAAAGGGAGCAGATCAGACCTTAAAATTGGAGGCCAATCAGCATTTTAAATGTTGATTATAAGATACTGGCTAAAACTATCACCAATACATTAAAGACAATTATGCCATATATTATAGGTGATGAGCAAACGTATGGGGTTCCTGGGAGGAAAATTCATGACAACCTGATGCTCTTGCGTGACAGTTTCGATCATGTGAATTGTAATAATATGGAATCAGCGCTTTTTAGCATCGACCAAGAGAAGGCCTTTGATCGAATAGGTAAAGGAGAATACACGAGAAAGTGTGGATTCGTAGTTTAAGAATTCACGAGGCGCGAAGCGCCGAGTGAATTCGTAAATTAAGAATCCACACTTCCGAGTGTAATCTTCGACTTAAACCATTGCGTCAACAGAAGTTTTGGAAAGAATGCTGCAACCTGACGCCACTTTTTTTCTTCACATATCATCTCAATGAAGGCCATTTGTTTCAAAAATGATGATAAGACATGAATCTGGGACTGATAAATGTTTTCAAAATTGTTAGGAAATACTTGAAATGACTCTCTATAGACGTTGTACACAAGCGCGGAAGTGGCGTCAGGTTGCAACATTGTTCCCTGGCGTGTTAAGCATGTGCATTGCCACACCCGTACAACCCAGTCATTTTGTGTGTATAGGCTTCTTAAGTCAAAATGGATAGTTCAGACGACGATTTCTTTCTGACTAAAAGTAGATTTTGCAATAACGGCGGAAAATCTGACAGTGAAGATGCATTGGTAATTTTCGGAAAGCAAATTGTCACGCAGACGTT